AGAAAGTGACCTGATATGACATGATGTGAATTGGAGCTATAGAAATAAACTGAATAGAACTGTTTCATGGTTCAGTAAATTGCTGCTTGCTCAGGTCCAGGACTCACAGCTCTAATGGAGACACTCCTATCAGAACAGAGAGCCTGTATCTCCTCAGGCTTTAGATGATTTATGATCAGATACCAGCAACAGAGGAGTCAGAACGACCCGACCTCTCTGAGGATGGAATGAGGAACACGTACCTCCTTCTCTGGATGGAAACGTAGATTCAGAAGCTGAGAGCCTGGAACCAGGAGCTTCTCCACAAACGAGACGGGAAGCTTGGTGTTCACCTGATCCACAATCTGAAACAGATTCACAGCTTCAGCTCCAAGTCAGAGCAGAACAGAAACAAAGCAACGATTCTCCAACCATCGACGCCCCGCTGAAATCAAACCATGCAGCATCTCTGCAGCTCCGTCAGAGGCAGGAGCAGATGGAAGGAAAGGGAAACCTTCAGTTTAGGGTCAGTTATGCTGATGGTTTGATTCCAGGCGGAGCCTGAAGGAGTGGAGCTGTAGGAGCCCCAGTCTGCTGCTGGACAACAGGAATCAGGAGCTACCGTCTAAAACTCTGCAGTTTGGTTTATTTCCAGTCGCTCGATCTTCAGAACGCAGAGCTTCAATGTTTGCTGCTGATTTCCCCCCCGACCCACAAACATTAGAGAGGAGAAGAACGGTACCAGAGTGAGCAGGCTGAGCACAGCCAGGCTGTAATCGGAACCACAGGCCACGCAGCAGTCCAGCTGGTCCAGGCCGTAAACCAAGATGGCCTCCATGAGCGAACCCGTGGGCTCCACGCTGGCCAGCAGCACCCCCACACACTCGTTCCCTGCCGTGAGGACGGCCTCTGAGAACTGGACCTGCTTGGCTGCCGTCACGCAGCCCAGGACCCGGTTCAGAACCTGTGAAGAGGCAGACAGAGGAGGCCATGGACGCCGTTCTCAGAGAGGAAGTGCCGCTCCTGCTCCGCCTGGAGGAGACAACTTCTTCCTGATCTTACGTCTGTGACGTAGGCTTCGGTGATGGGCGGTCCCCTCACTGGGCTGAAGCGCTCGCCGATGCTGCGCACCACGGTGCTGAAAACCCTCAGCAGAGCCGCCAGCTTGGGCAGGGATACTGACGGCGGAGGGATGTCGTCATCCGGGACGTCGCCTGACGTCACGTGATTCAGATCCTACGCAGAGCGGGACCGGGTCAGAGTCTGATCCAATAACCATCAGCTACGGATCAGCAGGGGCTCACCTCAGCGTAGGCCTCCATGTCCTCCAGGAACTGGCCCAGGAGGGTGGTGGAGAAGGTCAGGTCTGCCACCCAGAACTGCTCCAGGCTCTGTAACCAACCTGGAAACGGGACGACATCATCAGATACACCACATCCACAGCTTCCTGTTCTGGGTTCGATGCACATTAAAGGTCTCAGATAAAACCTTTTCTTTCAAATGATTCAGTCATAAAAATGAAATAAAACACCTGAGTGTCGGATAAAATGGTTCATTATAATCTATCATTAGTTGTTTTAGACATTTTGATGGGTCCAAGTATTTATTTCTGGTTACCATGCCAACACTAAAGGATTCTGCACATATTCTGCTGTTTAGAAACACTTTTATAAAAGTTAGAGGATCAAATTTAGCTTTTTACTCCAGTAAAAGTGTAAATGTACCATTTTTAAAACTACTAATATAAATATAAAATTACTGCAGGAAAAAAATGCCAGAAGCCAGGAACATTTTTCTATCATCTTAGGCGGAAAACAAAAAGAAATTAATTATGTTGATGGTTTTTATGTTTTTCTAAATACCAACAGGCCAGAATGAAAATTAGCTTAAATGAAACAAAACTAACGAGTTTAGTTTTGAAATACAAGGAATAGAAAATAGAGATAATTTCAAAAATAAGCAAAAGTAAAATTAAAAAGTCGTCTAAAAAAATAATCATTCCAGTTAAGTATAGATAGCTTTAATGATTACTAAGTAAAGTATTTATACTTAATTACTCGACGCCTCTGATTCTGCACCAATAGGAGAAGTAGATTGAGGTCATGTGACATAGCTCCTTGCACTGATCTCCATTTATTCACTGGATTGCTGAAAAAACTGAAGTCACATGCCGCCATTTTGGTTCTCTCCACTTTCACGGAGCGCGTCATAAAAACGCCTGTGATGTCATGTGATTACCATAACAATGTCATCAATACATGTATTTTATATGTACATCATCAATTTAGTGCTTTTGATAAATCATCAGTTAGCGTGTGTGTAATATTCCTGATACATTATTATTATCCTCCATTAACACATTTATTTTGCTGTGATGGATTTATATATCATGGAAACCTGCTTTCACCTCGAAGAAGTAAAAAAATGCAAAGGGAAGGTTAGAATTATGAGATATAGTTGAATATTATGATCATGACTTTGAAAGTTGAATTTATGATTTTGTGTCTAATAATTATGACTTTCTATGTGGCATTTATAATGATTCTGCAATGAAATGGGCCTTTATTTATTCTAAGTTAAAGTTAATCTACTGATGCTATAAAACAGCCAGTCTGTGTCAAAGTGATGAATTTATCTTTATTTTAAGTCTTAAACCCCCTGAAAATGAGAACATCATCGTTGTTCGATGCTGCAGCGCAAAGATTTTTTACAATGTAACCCGTTGTAGCTAGGGAGTACCAATATGGCAGCTGGTGACTTCACAGCACCGCTTGCTACCAACAGCCTATCCAGTGAATATAGATCAGTGGCTCTGTAACAGAGCAGAGAAACAGCTTCTTCCTCTCTGAGTGACATTTCTCAGAAAACAAACAAACAAGAGAAACAGGAGGAGCAAAAACCATCAGTCAGGTTTTAGAGCTTCTCCTCTAACCAGCTGTTTGCTAACGCTAATTTAAGGTTAGCGGTAGCAGACCTGGGAACCAGCATGGAAGGAGAGTGGGATGGAGGAGTTCCAGCGTAGCCTCCAGCTGAGGAGGCAGCAGATCTGTGAGACTGAACCTGTTATTAGGTAATGTTTCTGGTTCGAGTCATGGGCTGGCCAATCAAGCACCAGTACCAGCGTAGTCATGGAAACCGCTTAGGTACCACAGGCAGCCTGACCCAGAACCAAGTCCTGCTGGGAAAAAACCCCAGAGGAGCAGAACCAGCAGATCAGCGCCGACTGTGGACCCGTTCCACCAGAACCTTAAAACATTGTCCATTCTGGTCCTCTACTTCCAGACTCTGGTCCCTGAGGTCCACCGTTAGGACCAAGCAGTCTGGTTCTGGTTCTCTTCAGCCCAGTGTGTAATGGACCCTGAGGTTCTGACCCCAGACTCGGTCCTCTCCTTCTGAAGCTCCTCCATGTCTTTCCTGAGGTTAGTTTCTAATCTGAACCAAACTCACCTGAGACCTGCTGGGTGAGAGACTGTCTCTGGGTGTGGTCAATGTGCCAGCCCACCAAGATGTCCACCGTGTCCTGAGGACAACATGGAGAAACAGCTGGGTTAGGAACAGAGGGACACGGAACGATGGGGGGCAGAGGGACATGGAACGATGGGGGACAGAGGGACAGGGAACGATGGGGGACAGAGGGACAGAGGCCCCTGACGGATAGAGGGAGACAGTCAATAACAGACAGAGGGACACACAGTCAATGACAGACAGAGGGACACACAGTCAATGACAGACAGAGGGACACACAGTCAATGACAGACAGAGGGACACACAGTCAATGACAG